GTCTCTCCTCTCTCCTCTCTCCTCTCTTCTCTCTTCTCTCTCTCTCTCTCTCTCTCTCTCTCTCTCCCTTAGCCTATCTCATTAAGCTTTTAGAGCAGCACTCTTGTCAGCTGGGGTGGGATCCTGGCTTCATTCCGGACATATTTCATCAAGTGGGTGTGTCTTACTCCACCCTATTCACACTCTACAACAACCTCTTTGAAGAAAAGGTATATGTCCATATTTGGTTATTTCCTTATTTGGATGCATAATTATTATTTTTAATTTTTAGGATACGTTTTGGGGTTCAGTAGGACGACCGTTACATGTTCTGTCAGTTTTATTGGCTTTACTATCAGCTTATACTGCTAACAGTTCACTAGTAGCTACCAAGTAGGCCATTGTACATGCATTGTATCCAATATGTACACATAAATGTAGTAGATGTGTATTTGCAAATTATGAAATACACATGTACACTGTGTATAGTAAGATAATGTATTTTTTATTTCTTTCCATCCACTCTCTCCATCTTTTTTTTAATTTCTAATTAAATGCTAAGTAAAAAAGTACTAAAAATTGCTTGGTATTTTGGTATGGTGCTTGAGTTTTTTCCTCCTCTATCTCTCCTTCTCTAGACATTTCTCAGTTGCTATTGATAAGTATTTGGTTGAGCTACAGACACTGGATCCCTCCACTCCTGATATCAATACACTCACTGCTGGACTGAGGAACCTCAAGAGAGAACTGCAGAGGAACCTTGACACCATCAAATGAACACACTCCACCACACACTATCCATACACTTGTGTATACATACACTTTGAAATGATAATTTTTCAATCTTAATATAGTCAAAGACTATAGCTGTGTATCATGACTGTTGTTTACATGAGACTATACTTAGCTAATGTGTGGGTAAGGTATATTAAGCTAAGCTATGGTTAATTGTTTATCATTTATGACTTCATCACACAATGTAATCTAAGTTTAGATGTCTCTGTTGATATAGGATATAAAATAAGCTATCCATGCAACCATTTGTGACATGTTTATAACGAGCTATTTTAACTAACACTAGCAAACATTTTTGTAGCTGTAACACAAAAACACACTGTAACATGTGGTACATATACATGTATTTATTATCGCTAACTAAGATGAGTATATTATTGAACAGTTGGTATTTCATATTCGGTAGAAGGTGGTGGAAGAAAAGTAGGAGGCTCTACCACAGACTCAGTTGTATCATACACTGGCTCAACAGTAGATCTAATAAATATAGTATACAATGTAATAGTGAATAGTGTAACTAACTTTGTTTTAAATTCAGTTGTAGCATAAGCTGGACTGCACTCCATTACAATATCATTTTCTGATTTTCTGTGTAGTCTACAATATTACAGTATATAATTGTAGTAAATGTGCATATAATTACCTCTTTTGATTTGTTTTTCTTTTGATATACATGAAAATTACTAGTACAATTATGATCATAGCCATTGCTAGTAGTATAAAAAGTATATATACTACAGTTACACTGACTATCAATCCAATGTTTTCCCCATTAGTCACTAATATAGTCACAGTAGGATGAGGAACTATAAACAGTAAAGTCTAATTAATACATTTATTTCATTATAATATCAATTTATGCATTTGATGTTTCTTCAAACCTGATACTAATTGTATTGGTTGAGTCCTCTCTCCTTCATAAATGATTCCATTAACATTAAATGATGTAGATATAGTTGGTGGACTCCATGTATTAGTAACAGAAGTACTTGTAATTATTATCATAACTGAAGCATTACCACTAGGCAATGAAGCTGATCCATAAGATACTACATAGAAAGTGTATGTAGCCCCTTGAAACAATCCTGATGTTATATTGATTGTTGTTGAAGCAGTAGTGCCTACACTAACAGGAGTATTACTAAACAATTGTTGATAGTAGACCTCATAACCAGTAGCTCCTGATACAATAGACCAGGAGAGTCTTACATGAGATAAACCAGTACTTAATCTTGTAGCAGTTAAACCAGTTGGAGTATCAGATACTATACTATAGTTTAATAATTTTAATATTTAATAATGACTAACCTGATATACTCAATGACGAAGTACTAGTAACTGCATTAGGATGACTATTACCACTAATAGGACCATTAGTTACTCTGTCATTAGACACAGTACACTGATAGTTACCAGCTTCAGTTAAGTTTGTTATCGTCACTCTTGTAACAGATCCTGATCCATTCACTATCACACGAGACAGTTCAGTAGATATTCCATTCCCATTCACTGAACAACTGACAGTAGTAGGAGGACCATCAGAGACATTGAAACTGAGACTGAAGACTGGAGGAGTAGCTAATCTACTAGTGGAGAGGAGAGAGAACTGCATAGTAGGATCAGCATCAGGACCATCTGTAAAAGAAGTGCATTAATTATAGTCTATATTCATCACATACCATTGTTATTGTATCCATTATTAGTATCTATTCCAACCACTAGTGTTTGATTCACTCCATTCTCATCAGGAATGATACACTTGTATAAACCTTCATATCCAAATAGAGCATCTTTTCTAGCTAGTGCAATCTGACCACTGAATCTCTTAGTGAACACTGGATTAGGAGCAGATAGATCAATGAAGTTTCCACCAAATAAAGGTACTTCAGTTCCATTAGGATAATACCACACTCCAATATTAGTACCACTGTGAGCACTCTGACACCACAAAGCATCAGTGATATCATTAGCATCATTATTCTGATCAAAAATATAAATCTGGCCACCATATACCATAAAGTAATCAGGTATTATCCTTTCCTCATAAGCTAGGTACAGTCGAACACCTGAATATGAGTATAGATGACTAGTAATCAGCAGTTAACAATAGCTATTTCTTACCATTACTGGGTAGAAGGTTAGAAGGTGGTTCTTGTCCAGATAGAGACTTCAGTTGAACTAGCAAGAGTACAAGTATAAAACAAGAAATAGATCTAGCTGAGAGTGACATTTTTTGCACTGCATGCTCACCTCTCCAGACTTCTAGATCTATATATAAATAACTCCTCCCCAAAACTAACAATCATGTCATGTGAGCTATAATCAACTATTCGGTTGTTTGTAACATAGATTTATGTTCACAATGTAAAGCAGTTGCATTATAAATAATTACAAATACATACACACACTTAACACACTGATAGCTTAAACAAAAATGTAGCATAATATTTTAAGTGTTGTCATGCTAAAAATTGGCATATTGAAGTAAATTAAGCTCATCTTGATGTTGCTATTAGATCTACAGTCTTGCTACTTTAAAGTTAGGTTCCATGTTTTAACATAATGCAGATGTGATTAATAAACATTTCTGATTGTAAAACATACACAATTTCACTAACAACATGTATCATTATGTTGTACGTGTATCAAGAATATTATGTGAATTGCATCGTATATTAATGTATGTACAAAAAAGATGAGTACATTATTAAACAGTTGGTATTTCATATTCAGCAGGTGGTGGAAGAGAAGTCTCATATTCATCATTAGTTGTATCATACACTGGCTCAACAGTTAATCTATTAATAATAGTTTTAAATAATGATAATAACTGTATTTTATATAACTGACTGTGTTTGTTGTACAGTACTGTATGCTGGACTATCCTTCATTAGTATATCATCAGCAGTACTGTATGTGTGTGTGTATAGACATAATGTAATAGTCAATAGTGTAACTAACTTTGTTTTAAATTCAGTTGTAGCATAAGCTGGACTGCATTTCATTACAATGTCATTATCTGATTTTCTAATAATTTTAAAATTAATTCAGTAATGATTGTGTTCACATTTACCTTTTTTGATTAATATCACTTCTTTTTCTGTGCATAACCAGTACCAGTATAATAATTATAATTACAACCAGTACTAATAATACAGTAAGAGCTACACTTAGACCAACTATCACTCCAATATTGATCACTCTATTATTCACTAATACAGTAGTTGACACAGTAATCAATGCAGTAGTCAATGGAGTAGTCATGGTAGTTGTTTTAGTAGAAAAAGAAACTATAAACATAAACATGCATCAATAGTGATATGTTTACTCATGTTTAATGAAACTATTGATGACATTACTCTAAAGTAAACTGATTACATACATCTATTAGTATATGTACTGTCTTACTTGTTGATGATTCTGTAACACTAATGACTGATGAAGTGCTTGATACAATAGTAGGAGTTAGAGTAGCACCTAAATACATGTAATGAGTATTATTTACGAAGTATAGGATTACCTGGTGGAATCTGCTGAGTCTTCTCTCCTTCATAAATGATTCCATTGCTATTATATGATGTAGATATAGAGAACAAGTAGTTCAGATTAGGATCTAATCCTCCTATTAGACCTTCAGTAGTATCACCTGGGAATACTCTCATTCCTGTCTCTACTTGTCTCTTCTTTCTTGAAGAGCTATTGGTTGACTCATAATAGACAGTATAATGACTAGCTCGACGAACTAAACTCCACTCAGCCCTCACTGCTGTAGAATTGAGCTTTGTTATAAAAAAGGTTTCAATGAGAGCTAAAATAGGATTAATAGCAAAAGTAGATTATATTTCCTTACGTATCTGAGCAGTATTAATTTCTCTATGAGTCCATTCTCCTGGTCCAATACTAGTATATGCTCTCACTCCAATAGTATAACTAGTATTAGGTATCAATCCTACTATACTGTAATAAGTGTTAGTAGTGTTAGTTATATTGTATGGACCAGTACTGGTAGAGTCTCTATATCTTATCTCATATACTGTAATGATACCATTAGGTATTGTAGGAGGATTCCATACAATAGTTATTTCAGTTGGTGGCCTTCCATATAACAGATCAGATATCACACCAGGAACTGTGTTAAGATCATGTTAAACTGATCAATATCTCATTGACTTACTTGATTCACCAGTTAATTGTATTTCTTGTCTAGCTTGTCCATTCATATTATAATTATAAGGTATTATACTCACAGTATAGTTAGTATATGGTATTAATCCTGTGAGATTATACATTCTGTTGTCTCCTCCAGTGATATTAACAGTATAACTAGTGTTTGAAGTGATGTTAGTGTATGTGAGGTAGTATCCAGTGATTTGTCCATTCCTTCCATTGCAAGGTACTTCATCCCATGAGACAGTCATTGACACTGACTCTACTGATGACAATATAATATGATCCACTGGTGCAGTAGGGGCTAGATTGATAATAAAAGGAACAAATGACTATCAGTAGCAATTATAATCTTACCAGCTGAAAGTGTAGTAGCTAAATAATCTGTAGTCAAATCAACCGTAATATCATATACTCCAATAAGATCAAAGGTACATTGACTATAAGGAGGTATACCAGTTGAAATATGTGGTGATGAAACTGATGTTTCACTAGTACCAGTTGTTAATGATTCACATACTCTCCTACAATCCCTATTAATATTATAACTGTTTGGTACTACAGCAGTTGGTGGACTCCATGATAATGTAATGGAAGTACTTGTAATTAATGTAGTCAAAAAATCATTAACTGCTGGATCACCTAAACCAAACAATTACTCACATATTTACATAATTATTATGATAACTTACTAATTGTCATCATAACTGAAGCATTTCCACTAGGTAGAGAAACTGATTCATAAGATACTACATAGAAAGTGTATGTAAGTCCTCGAAACAATCCTGATGTTATATTGATTGCTGTTGAAGCAGTAGTGCCTACACTAACAGGAGTATTACTAAACAGTTGATAGTAGACCTCGTAACCAGTAGCTCCTGATACATTAGACCAGGAGAGTCTTACATGAGCTAAACCAGTACTTAATCTTGTAGCAGTTAAACCAGTTGGAGTATCAGATACTGTATGAGAGATTATAAATAAATAATAAATGAAACAAACCTGATAAACTCAATAATGTGTTACTATTTGTTGCCTGAACATTACCAATAACACCATTATTACCATCAGTTACTCTGGTATTAAATACATTACACTGATAGTTACCAGCTTTTCTCAGTCTCACTGCTACTGTCACTCTTGTAACAGATCCTGATCCATTCACTATCACACGAGACAGTTCAGTAGATATTCCATTCCCATTCACTGAACAACTGACAATAGTAGGAGGACCATCAGAGACATTGAAACTGAGACTGAAGACTGGAGGAGTAGCTAATCTACTAGTGGAGAGGAGAGAGAACTGCATAGTAGGATCAGCATCAGGACCATCTGTAAAAGAAGTACATTAATTATAGTCTATATTCATCACATACCATTGTTATTGTATCCAGTATCAGTATATGCTCCAACAACTAGTGTTTGATTCACTCCATTCTCATCAGGAATGATACACTTGTATAAACCTTCATATCCTGATAGTGCACCACTTCTAGCTAGTGCAATCTGACCACTGAATCTCTTACTGTACACTGGTCTAGGAGCTGTATTACCAAAGGGTCCATCAAATAAAGGTACTTTAGTTCCATTAGGATAATACCACACTCCAATATCAGTAACATTGTTAGCACTCTGACACCACAAAGCATCAGTGACATCATTATCATTATTCTGATTAACATCATAAAACTGGCTAGCATATATCATAGAGTAATCAGGTATTATTATGTCCTCGTATGCTAAATACAGTCGAACACCTGAATGCAGGCACAGATCTGGAAATTACAAAAATTTTACTTATTACCATTACTGGGTAGAATGGAAGGTGCTTGTCCAGACACAGTCATCAATTGAACTAGCAAGAGTAATAGAAAACAAGAGAATGCCATCCTTTCTCTAAGTAAATTTCATTGTTAAGCTAAGAGAATCATGTGACCTTGTATTATCAGTTGTTGACACAAAAGTGTATTTTACATAATTTTAGACACTTAAAGATAATGAATTTGTTATGAGCCACGCCCAGTCAATGAGATACGCCCTCTTATGATTTGCAAAGATGCCTGGCAACAACAACAATAAATCTTCTTCATGTTATATTGATGCACTATGTCTATCTGTAGTCACAGCAATGGAAGAACACAATGGGAGCATCCAGTACTGACAGAACTATTCAAAAAACTAAGTAAACTATAGTGTTTAACATATTTTCAATATTTCAGGGACACTAGAAATAGTTCATAAAGTTTGGTCAAATTTTATCAAAAATGAAAAAGGGAATATTTTCTGATACATATAAATGCATGCAATTATGTTATGTAGAAAGTTTAAACTGAATCTGATCAAGTTTGGATGTTTTACAAATTCTATAAGTTGCTCCAAAATTAGGCCAAAGTTCCTGTACTGACAAGAACATAAAAAATTAAAAAAAACAAGGTTAAGTAGGATTCCAGAGCAAATTCGTAAAAAGTAATGGAAACAAGAACAGGTAGGATTCCGAACAACCAACGAAAATACAAAGTGAAAATCCTACTCGTG